GGTGCAGTTTTTTCAAAAAATTTGAGTCAAAATCGCTCAGTTCCCAAGGCCGTAGAGGAATCATCACCGAGCGGATGCTGTACTCTCAAATACAAATCAAAGAAAAGTTATCTAATATCTGAAAATTAATGGACCCACCAGCAAATGTGATGGCAGTTATGTTGTTTTGACGACAAAAAAGTGCAGCGCCTTAAAAACCGTTTGCAACTTTGATATTTAGCCGTAGCTATTGCAGTTGATGTCAGAACCATTTGGAAAACTCGCGCATTTACTCGAGCACTTCAACACTTTTCTGAATAGAGTAGAACGGTTACTTCTACGCACCACTCTTCTTTCGGTTGTATTACATTAGAAAAACCTAAGAATTACACATACTACTAACTACAAACCTCGTCCAACTTCTGTTTGAAGAAATAAAAGTTAACTTTTCAGAAACCAATTTGAAACCTGTAAACTGCTGTAGCCCAAAAGCGATACGCAGGTTTTAGTTCTAAAAACAACACTCTTAAGAATGCTTTTAGTTGTAGCAACACGACTACTGAAGTAGCGCCATTTTTTTACGGAGAGTTCATAACTTTTTTCTTTTTGAAGCTAAAATCAGTAAATGTTTTTTTTTTTTTCGTCTTGAGAGATCAGTAGTGATGTCCACTGCAATGAATATGACATTTAGAAATTTGTTGATACAGCGGGTCATAATCAAGTGAGAACATTTTTGGTCACATAATTCCTGAATAACTGTGATTGTTGATTATGATTACAGGTGTGGTAGAGCCTAAAATGTAAAAAACAATTCGACAGACATATGAATTTTTTTTTGTATCTATTTATCAATGTTTTATGGTTTACTTACAAGTTTTTTTTTCTCTTTTAATGATGCTCCTTTTTACTACAGTATAACACGTATTGGATAGGTGTTATAAATCAAATACACCGACAAACAGATGCCTTTCATATCAGTGTACGTGAACACCAAGTTTACCCGCACTTACATATACTGAACATACATACAATAAATTATTTTTGCCGACAAAACATGTAAATTGATAATTTAAACCTTATTTCTTCCTCTTATTTTGGTAATACCGACTATAGCTTTTAGCGTCAAATGCAAACTTAAATCGACAACGTTCACCAGGGTATTCTACAACAACTAAGTTACGGATTGATTCTGTTTAGCGCTTTTTAAGTTTTATTGTAATAAATGGGTTAGTCTTTATGTTTACAAAACGGCTTCTGAACAATGCTAAAAGCTAAGAGAACAAAAAATAACTGCTAGTGCTATTTGCCATAACATTTGACGGTTGTTACAGTACTGTACTTAGCAAACATTCTTAAGTAATATATTGTATCCGTTGTAAATGCCATCTTTTTCCGCAATTCTTCGTTGATTTGCGCTAAAAAGAAATATTTGCATAATTTTCTATCAAGTCTCTTTATTCTGATCACAAATATAGCCAAAAGAATCAATTTTTAGATCAGAAGCGGAAGAATCGTTTTAACTTTTTAATTTCTATACGCCAAAAAATAAGATTAACTCCGTCTCGCTAAGAGACATTTTTAATTCCTCCTACTTGCTTGACGTAATGGTGTTAGCAGTCAAAGAATTGGGATTCTAAAAAAGACCACAAAAAGTGTATGGAAGAAAGCGATAAGAAAAAAAATATTCGGAAGATTTTCCTTTTAAGCCTTTATTTTCTTTCAGCCTTTCATCAAGAAAAAGTGAAGAATTGCCACTAAATGTTCATAGCTATTAAGACTGCTTTTCTAATTGCTTCTTAACCGCCAAAGAGAAGAATATAGATGTTTTATAGCCGACGGATGAGCAGAGAAGGTGGAATGAGTATTATTATCCTTCAGTGGTTGCAGTCTGACAACTCAGATCTCCCAGAAGCAGAAGTCTGAAATTTCTTACTGTTCTTAAAACAAAGTTAATTGTACAGGCAGCGTATGCTCGCAAATAGTTTAGGAAAACTGCTGTCTCGTCGGTTTCAACATTTCTGACCAAGTTTGATCGCACTATGTCGTATTTGCAAACAGTTTAACTCTTTTTTTTCGACCAATCTGTCACTGTTTTTTTTTGTTATATACTTTAGCTTAGTGTTTTAGCTGTTTCAGGTTATCTAATGTCATCATTTAGTCACAGCTATAACCATCAGAGTTTTCTGTATGATGCATCATCATGAAAATACTTCTTCTTTAAAACTTGTATTGGCATTTTACGATATCGCTGTTTAGCACTTGTTCTTTTTTTTCCTCGACTTATGCGAGAGCTTACCAGTTACTGATCACATATGCCGCCTTTTTTTGTCACTGAAACGTCATAAAATAATAGAACAAAAGTTTTGAATTGTATGCTCTAAAAGAGCTTGCTAGTCGGAAAACCATAGAACACTGACTCGGTGCAGTGCAATCATCAGTTATTTAAAATGCGCATTAGGATGGTTCAGAAAAAAGGTGAGTTCTTTTCTTTTTGATGCATTACTTATTTTACATATATGTATTTTTGCCCTTAAAACATGAGAAACATTTGCTGTTGTTGTTGTTGTTATCCTTATTAAAACCACTTATCATCCGGTTACCCGCGTGTTAGACTTGTCTCACAGATACTATTATTAATTTAAAAATTTGACCGAAACCGTACGGTATTTGCAGGCTAAAGACTGAATATTGTTAAACAGTTGAATTTTAATAAAACCAGATTATAATCTAAATACGCTTTTGATGAAAGGTCAGAAGAATAACCGCAAAAAATATATACCAAAATTCAAACATTTAACGACAATAATCTAAATGAGTACGAAATTTCAATGAATAAAATTTTGCTTCGAAGAAAACTGTTTTTATCACTTATTTTTGGTTCAAAACACATTCATATGTTTTTTTACCATTTATCAAAGGTAGCAACTATAATCAGCACTTTTTTTTGTACTCGTTATATTGTTTTTTTTTTTTTTTTT